TCAACCACCGTCCTCCCCAAATCAACCACCGTTCTCCCCCAATAAACCACCGTTCTCCCCCAATAAACCACCTTCGTCCCCCGATCAACCACCGTTCTCCCCCAATAATCCACCGTTTTCTCCCAATCAACAACCGTTCTCCCCCGATCAACCACCGTTCTCCCCCAATCAACCACCGTTCTCCCCAAATCAACCACCGTTTTCTCCCAATCAACCGCCGTTCTCCCCCAATCAACAACCGTTCTTCCCCAATCAACAACCGTTCTTCCCCAATCAACTACCGTTCTCCCCCAATAAAGAACCGTTCTCCCCCAATCAACCACCGTCCTTCCCCAATCAACCACCGTCCTTCCCCAATCAAGCACCATTCTCCCCCAATCAACCACAGTTCTCCCCAAATCAACTACCATTCTCATTTAATCAACCACCATACTCCCCCAAAAGACAACCGTTCTCCCCCAATCAACTACCGTTCTCACCCAATCAACTACCGTTCTCACCCAATCAACTACCGTTCTCCCCCAATCAACTACCGTTCTCCCCCAATCAACCACCATCCTTCCCCAATCAACCACCGTTCTCCCCCAATCAACCACCGTTCTCTCCCAATCAACCACCATCCTTCCCCAATCAACCACCGTTCTCCCCCAATCAACCACCGTTCTCCCCCAATCAACCACCGTTTTCTCCCAATCAACCACCGTTTTCTCCCAATCAACAACCTTTCTCCCCCGATCAACCACCGTTCTCGCCCAATCAACCACCGTTCTCTCCCAATCAACCACCGTTCTCCCCTAATGAACCACCGTTCTCCCCCAATGAACCACCGTATTCCCCCGACCAACCACCGTTCTCCCCAAATCAACCACCCTTCCCCCCCAATGAACCACCGTCTTCCCCGTCTGTCCCTAAACCCTCGAACGACACCCCAATGACGCCGGGTGCCCCAAAGCCTTCAACCGGCCCTTCATCCACACCTTCGTCTGGCAACGGTGTGAAGGACCAACTGATGGCCCAAACCAACAAAATCCGCGCGGCCCACGGTATCAGCCCGGTGACTTGGGACGATAAGCTGGAGGCAGAAATGCAGAAGTGGGCCAGAAGTTGCCCTGGCTTTAAGCACGGCGGCCCAAAAGGCTCGCAAAACTTAGCCACCAACATCAAGTGCAGTGGCGCAGCCTGCATGAAGGTGTTGGGGGCATCGTGGATGTGGTACGACGAAGAAGAAAAGTCATGGAACTACGAAAGCAACAAGTGCAACGGGAACTGGGCCAAGTGCGGCCACTTCACCAACATGATGAGTCCCGAAGCCAAGTCCATGGCGTGCGGGTGGTCCGAATGTGGCCGCGACAACAATGTCTGGTGCAACTACAACAACCCCGGGATGAACCCCAAGGTGGGCAAAATCACCGGCATGACCAAGGACGAGCTCAAGGCCAGCTTGACCCAATACAGATAACGACGGAAATAACTGCCAAGTGGTACTGCGCAGAATCTTGGAATATTAATATCCAAACAAACTCCATCACTTGAAATGTGGATAATTTCACACATTCTAGCCAATGGGGGACTGTTTTCACCACGACGGCACACATGATGTACTACACCTTTTTTCTATTGACTTGGGACTTTTTTCAACGTTCTTGGCTTGGCGCTCATTCGAAAGAGCGATGTGTCCGTTCATTTGGCCTTGTGGCCAATAGCATTGACACGTCGTGCCGCAACACCCTTTGAAATGTACTTCCATGCTACCAATGGAAAAGGCTCCACTACCCAACAATGTGCCAAGTAGCATTTCGAATCTGCCGTGCTTGAAGTTGAGTTAATAGAATCTGCGCGTGGCAAAGGGTCAATCATTGCATACTTACATAATTATATTTGTAGGGAGTTGATAACGCAGAGGAAATTGTAAAACTGATTGATTGGCGTTATCTACATCTACATGCATGACTACTCTGACTATATATACTATATCTAATGCTATACATACGTGCGCTCTGCAGAAGGAACTTCTGGTGTCCATGGCCGAGCACGCCGCACGCCAATCGAGCTTGGTCGTAAACTGACGTCAACAGTGACGTCTGTTCTGATTGGTCGATAACCCTATGACGCCACTAGAGTTATGTCGCTACATTCTCCCCCGGTTATCGACTTCGCCGCTTGTATCTTTGCTCGCAGATCTTGAACCAGGCGCTTGAAATGGGAACCATGTTTGATGTCCCGCTCACGTTCCCAGGTCGCTTCGTAATCGGGCAAGCCATGCCACTTGACGAGGT